CTGATTTCTGACCATATTTACAGACTCAGCCACACAAAGAATTACACAAGGAACAGGATAATATATTACATTATTCCAGGTCATATATAAACGATAATAAATTATCATTGGCTATGTGTGAACATTTACGTTATTGATCAAACTGATAATCGTATGTTGAGTAGGTCTTCTTACACACCACGTACCACAGTACACTACACGAAAGCTCAGCGTAACGCTGTTCATAAGAATATAATGAGTACGCTTGGCGTATTTCAACACAGCGCCCCCTACGACTGATGCAATTTATCTTGTGTTTTCGCATAAATCAACTGAATGATTGAGTTTCCATGAAACTCCACCGGATCATGACACATCATCGCATTGAAACAAATCGATCGTGACCAAGGGATACATATAATAAGGACTAGGTTGTCCGACTTGATCATGGAATGGCATATTTTACTATTCAGGTAGAAATGCATATGTTACGCCTGTGTCGGCAGTTTTAATATCACATATCTTGTGCGATTCAGCGGAGACGATAAAATGAGAGAAGTACAAACACATGCTAAATAATTTATCACACTCAACCACTTTCCCGACATGCATGAAGACATGGCGTCCTATGATATATTTTGGTACGCTGTCTCTCTGTTTGGCAGACGCCACATCTCTGTCATATCTGTAAGACATCTAAAGAAATTTCTGTGACAAATGGGGAATAATAAAAATAAATAAAAGTTTTTGAGACAAACTGTAAAAAGTATGTTAATATAATAGGAATCAGTCCATTTGGAAATACTCAGTTCAATCGGTCACCGAAAACATGCCAGAAAGGAAGGGAGTGATTAATTCATTGAAGTGTGTATGCCAGCTTTAAGTTATTTTACATGGTTGCGAACTGTGGGTAAAACACAGAAAAGCTGCTCAACTGTATGTACCCACAAGGAATACACCAATTTTAATATTTGTAAGTTGAAATTGTATGAAGGCATAATTAGGTTTTTTTTCCAGCGACATGGTTCTAATTTATTGTATGTTTTTTCCTGATGTGGTTAACATTATTAGGAAATATAAATTACAACATTACTAGTATTTACACGTTTCCGTCTAATTAAGTATAGATAGTATTTAGAAGGTGTCTCATAATTGAACCTAGAATATCAGATTTGTTAAACGAGTGTAGTAATTTGATAAATCTGATATTCCAAGGTCACGAATTGGATATCCTGTTTATCTCTTGTATCCATTTCGCAGCATTCTAAAGGTTAAATACTAAGATTTGTAAGCGTGTATTCGAGATACCGTAGAGCGATCTGGTTCCCATACAAGATTGACCTATCGAACACCAACTACCGCTTACCCTGTTGCAAATAAGAAATATACTTAAGCTTGTTTGTAGCCATCAACATATTTACGGATTCGGCGTTGCATTGGTAACATACGTACTAATTGTGTAGTCCATTCAAACCGTGGTCGCTTTACAATCCGTGAAAATTCGCCACTAAAAATAATGAAACAAATTTGTGTGTGTGTCGAGAATTTGAAATGACTTCTCAAATATATAAGGATCTATATTGCACACGCGTTTTACTTGACATCTGAAACTTCAAGAAATATTTGATATTAAATTAATATAATTATTAATTATTAATTACAATTCGAGAATTATTATGTGAGACATCAACATTTTTAGATTTTGTGATACTTAGCTTTCATGGACCAATGACTGATTTTATTACATAGTACGAAGATATAGAAAATTATGAAAAATGCAACATTACACTGATATATGGGATAACACATTTATGCGTATATATCATGAAATCCATTGCTCAGCATTTGCAGTTGAGTGTTCTTCAATTATTATTATTATTTATTATTATACATCTGGCACCGTAAAGTTACAGTGTGCCGTATTTTTGCGGTATTGCATTGGTATTTTCATCCTACCATATTAGGAAATGCGAATTCCAGTTATAAAACCATTACGCGCGTAAGCGTCCTCTAATAATAAAAACAAACATGGCTGCCCCAGGGCTTGACCGGACCCCACACAAAGAAGTTCTCTAAATCTGTTCTAAACGTTTTGCATTTCGGCATTCCCACGATGTATTCCTTTGAGGAAAAGATATATAATAATAAGGTCGCGTCGGTCGATACTCCCACTGTACTGTCTGCGTGCATACTTAGCAGTATCCGAGTCCTCGTAGTAATTTCATATTCAAGCTATTTCATTATTTTAATGAGAACTCAATTCAGACATATGTGTTTACATATTTGTTTTTATTTCTGTTGAAATTGCTGCCTCCTGTGTATTTATTTGAATAACATAGTAGATAATTCGTAGCACTAAAGGGCGGTGGTCGTCGCGCCGCGTTCTGATCGATAGCAACGTACACAACGCGTTTAAGATATATAGTTTTAAACACAAATTTCGAAACACGCGCTGCGCGATGACCACCGCCCCTTTAAAAACACTCTTTACTCTTTTTAATTGAAGTAAAATAATAATTTGTGGATAGTTTAGGTCTGAAAATTGTGTAACAATGTTCACAAATTTCACAAAACGATGGAATACAGACTGACGCCATTTACAATTATGATAATTGAGATGAGGCTATGATACCTATGATTGACAATCGTTTGTTATCCCTTGAGACAGTAAATTGTATTTCTAACGTGGTTAAAATGTCTCAATTATAGGTAATATCGTTATGGTTATATGATTTCTCCAACATAGTATTCCACGAACAGTTGCTCATCAATGTGATGAAGAATAAGGGAGAATTGGGCACCCATGAACTATATTAATTGAGATGTAATAACTATTATCTTTTTAGTTCGCAATATATAAAGCGTCATTACAGCTAGTTGAACAATGAATACTCGAGCCAGTCGTTTCATTATTCGAACAGTCACATTCGAAATTTGAAAGATTCACGTCTTAATTGCCTGTGAACTAAGCTTTGAAATTTGGAGATATATAATTGTATTTGTTACTGGGACAAACTATATGTATTCAGAAAAATAAGGTCCATTAAAAAAGGATTTTGAAGAAAGATAAACACTAAAAATGTATTCAAAAAATAATTACACACGTAAAAAAATATCTAATAGAGAAACCAATGAATAAACTGATTATAAATATAATATATATAGATATGTGCGTAAGATGGTCATAAGGAAAGTTGTACCAACCGTAGGTTTGTTTTATAGACGATAAGTCAATAATATATTGCCGCTGCCTCGTATGCATGTTTTTGAAGGCAATAACTTTGAATAACTCTTTTAGAATTCGCTAACTTCATCATTTTTTCTTTCAAACAACCTGGTCGTTAAAACATTCATCTGTGAATGTTGTAACATTGTTTTTCATAGGACCAGTAGGATTAGTAGATGCCATAGAGGTCCCTACATGGTTGCTCCGACGATAACATGTCAATGTCTTTTTGAAACTTTTGCGGAAATTTTCAGACATAAAAGCGTAAATGATAGGATTAATACAAGAATTGAATGCTGATAAGAACATGGCTACCAGTCTGAGGACATACGTAAACATGCTGAAGGGAAAGTTCACGTCGAAATTAAACCACATAGTAATGATATGGTGGGGCAGCCAGCACACACCAAAAACTACAACAACCATGATCACCATTTTTGTGACTTTTTTCTTCGACTTCACATTGTCATGTGACGAACTACTGGGAGCAACGGTTCCCCAGAGTCTTTTTAGCATCAGAAGATAAATCACCGTAATGAACAGGAACGGCAGCATATAACCAAAGACGAGCACCGATGCGTTGTAACCCGGTCGTTGATTCGGCCAGTCATCCACGCAGTGGGTGTGCCAGCCCATCCAATGAACGGTGACCGTCTTGTACACAATCCAATATGGCATCGAACCGGCCACTGAAAGCGTCCAAATGACAATTATTGCACCAAGCGCAAAGGTAGGCGTTCGGCATTTCATTGAACGGATCGGGTAAACCACAGCCAGGAAGCGATCGAAGGACATAACAACCATAGTGAAAATGCTAGCAAACATTGTGCACTGGAACAGAAAATTTGTCAGCTTGCACATGAATTCGCCGAAGATCCAATCAGGCAAGAGAAACAACGTCATGAAAAACGGCGTACAGAAAACAGACAACAGCAAATCAGCCACAGCTAAGTTACAGATGAAAATGTTGGTTGTATTCATTCTCTGTTTACCAATAAGCACGGTTACTATGACCAGGATATTACCTGCCATTCCCACGGCGAAAGTGACGGTGAACAGAACTGGCATAATTATCGATTCGAGCCGTTGAGGTTCATCAGGCAGTGTTATTTTGGTCCACTCAGTCACATTGCTGCCATTTGGATAGGTGTACACATAAGACAAGAAATAGTAGGAATAGTACATATACTCAGAGTAATCATAGTCCGACATTTTAAAACATATATATCATATATCAGTACATATGTTGTATGTCTATTCTTGCCTGGTAGCAGTAGTAGATATGTGAATGTTCATTTCATCATCAAATGGTATATAGGCATTTGGTGTCTTCGAAGGAATCATACATTAGGTCTTCTTCTTGTGTTAGCGCCTGTGAGTGAAATATATTCAAAACATGAATGTAGCCATTAGTTATGCTGTTAACGTATTTCGTCTCGATAACACCTATATTCGTCGCATTATATATGTATGCATGTGTGTGCGTGTCACCCCCATACCGATAGTATATTGACTATTTAAATTTTTCTGAATAATTACTACCTTAAGTTCTGCGACATATAATTCAAATATGTATATTGGATTCGCGGCATGAAGTCTCCGTGCCACCAACAATGTCGTTCTAAATATGCTTAAAATGGAAACAATATCCCCAAAACCCACGCGACGGCGTGTTATCGCATTTTATTAAAATCTGAAAGTGAAAGTGTATTTTCCATATACGATATGTAACGTTCTGCAGTTCAATTCAAAACTGCATTACTTTAGTATATATTAACTAGAAAATTCTCCTTAACACACATTTACTTCACTGAGATTCACTTGTTTGAACATGTGACCCACACTCTGATAACACCTAACTTCGCATTTAGTGGAATTATCAACATACTCACGAAAAAGTTAAACTATTAATGACGAAGCAAATTTGAAGTAGACGTGTTACCCAATAACTGAAACCACCGCCCCCTTTACCGGGTTTCAAGAAGTATCAAATGAATGCGATTTAGACATGGATATGTCAATGACGTCGGCACATCTCGAACACACATACGACGTTGATAAGGTCACGCGATTTCTTTATTAAAGAAAGCGCCGATTAGCCGACATACACGTACGATGTTTTTTTGAGGACTTCCACCGGTTTAGATAATGAAGGGAATGACCTTGAAGACACAAGTAAACACCCCGCTATTACAACTATAAGGCGAAAATTTAATATCCGTTTTGCTAAGAAACATAAAACATTCATTTATATTGTTACTTTGTATCTATTCTGCTGGGTGAATGGTCATATGAACATGCTATTCACTTAAGTACCCATAGATGTCTTTCGGTCGTAACAATATCCCTGTCATATTAAATAAATGAATAATATAAATACTCCCGATATTAAATAGGATTGCAAGTAGTAGCAATACTGTCTGCATGTTTGTATTCCGATAACTATGTATCACGTTAAAGTTGTCATCGCCGTTAACGTATGTGCATTTTGTTTCGTGTACACATTGTCAACACTAAACCACTGAATTAGAGTTGATATGGCGACCGTAACAGTTCAACATACTATGTTCCAGTGCAACGCATCATTTCTTCTCGCAGAATATCAGGTATTGCTTCAAAGTTCAATTACACCCTTGGCGCGATCACATCAGCAATCAACACAGCATAAAGAATGTATGATATATAATCCTGACATCAAACCTAAGGTTAGCGAGGAATCTTGAAACTAATTGCGTTACAGTTGGAGTACACAGAATCGCCATTAGATAGCACGACCCACGAGTATAGCACGACCCACACCAATAAATAACTAACGTAAATATATAGAATGTAATGAGCAATGTAATGGACATAAGAGCGTGAGTTACTGTGTTAGTTGTAGAACTAAACAAACCAAAATTAGTACACAGGTATGTACTATGGATGTACTGCTTAAAGGTCATTTACATAGACGCGCCTGATCAGCCGCGATTGCTCACTTGATTACGTCAGTACTGAGTAAGATTTCAACTACTGATAATTTCAGCACGTCGACATTTACACATACAATTTAATAACTTAGCCAATGAAGTGTTAACTTAGACTGTGATGCAACGGAACACATTGATCCTAAAGCGAATGCACTAACACAGCTGAGCCAATGCAACCTTCATAAGACAGTTTGAATTAAGCATGCGCCCTCAATAAGACATAGATGAAAATGTACATGGTCACGTCAGGACATATAGCGCGCATTTTCATACACTACCATTCCCTTTATCACATTGGGTCCATAATGGCGAGTTGGGAAAATAGTAAATGACGGGATTGCATTAATGTTTATTCACTTGTAATAATATTACTCGTCGAGCCGAGACAGATTGAATGCAAATCTCCCATATTGAAGATCTCTAGTACATATCTCTTATATTGAATATTGAAATAGCAAACACGCATCTAAGCCTAATAACTATCTTGAGTAACGTTACATGCATGACCATGGCACTATAGTTTCAACGACTATAACATAATAGGCTTCACATTCGTAAATTGTAGTTGTCGTATATTCATATTATTGACACTATGCATATTGCATGCTCTGACTGCTGAATAATACTGGTAGCATGTGAAGACGTGAAGCGTATTTTTAGTCATCGCGAACAAATCTTTACGGTAAGGACAATTATTAATATGATACGATACGAGTATATCAGTTATGGGCACAATGGCGAATGACTCACAGTCCAGATTGAACGATAACAGGCGTATCGTTCCGCGCTATACACATACATAACACTACTAATGGTATCGTGTTTGTTGAAATAGTTTAAAAACAAAATTTGTGGGCGTGATATGCTATATAAGTGTTTGTATCAAATGTTATTATATTTCAAAAGACGGTAAACGTATACCACCATACACCTTTATTCGTAAGCAAATAATTCACTATGTAGTGCAGATATTTATTGCAGCGCATGAGAGTAGTACTGTCTGATACTGTATACAGAATGACGGCTATAGTAATAATAGCACTTTGCGGCAAATGAGTTTCAAAGGAGTGGAGTTTTGTATGAATAGTACTTTGGCCTTGGTTGATGTTAACATTCGGTACATACATACAAATGAAATGCTTTTACCGAGTATCATTATCGTGAATATCTGATACAAACATAAATCTGCTGGCAAAAAAAGTTAATGCGTTACCAGATAATGATTTGAAAATCAGAAAGATCGTAAAATAGTCAATCCTATGATCGATTGGCATGATTTGCCGACGACGACACTTTCTGAAGGAGGGAAAGTTTGGTCAACGTCTAAAATGAGAACATGTCTTTGTAGTTTTAGCAAGGTTATTCTTCCGCCAAATCACTCAACAGTAATCAATACCAAATTGGAAAATACCATAATAGAAGAACACTCTTATGTGTACAGTCAAACAGTGCCGAATACTGCGCTAAATCCCAATACGTCTCACTAACATTTTCAATAATTTATCGATGTAGGCATCCAAAGTAAGATGATGACATCGATACATTTTTGCTTGGCCAATGAAAATGATTGTACCGTCAAGGTAGATTTTCTGGGATGATTGGATGTGCACAAACATTGAATTCTTAAACGACAATACTGTGTTCAACCATCTCATAAAAGCCACACGTCAAACAACCACCAATTTCTCTTATAGAAATGAATCTAGCTAGTCATATGAATCAAGATACAATATTTTTTCAAATAAATTTCTTTTCTTTAATTCACAATGCTTTCTAAAACACTTATAGGAGAATAATTTATACGAACGATAAGGTGAAAATAACGATCTGTAATCGTGATATTAAAATTACATTATTGAGTATTTAGGTAAAATATAATCTCATTCATTGTTTTTGGTGAATAGTCAAACGTGTTAGACCAAACATTGACTCAACAGTTACATAGGCCGATGGCGAACATTACTGGGAAAGTATGAAGACAAATATATGCTTTACACACCGTGATATTAATTTTTGAATGAACATCACGATATGGACGAATAACACCATAACAAGTAAGCAGTCAACACCCAGTCGCCTCTTGTCATTACAACATTGTCCAATAATATTACTAAGGATTTTAACTAAAAAGGCTAAACCCATTTCAACATGGTTGTTATTTTACAATATATTGTCAAATGTCTAGCAGCTTGTCTACATTCATTTTGAAACATATGATAGCCAGCCATGAAGTGGATGATAAATGCGTAATCGTGTAACAAAATACATTTCAAAATAAATATATTTCAAAATAAATATATTTCAAAATAAATATATTTCAAAATAAACATATTTTTGTAGATCAGACGAAATACGGTAGAACAAACTATTCACCTAGCAGAAACGATATTCAAAATGGGATTCGATTAGATGATTTCAGTGTGGAAGTTCTCACTGCTCTGTTACATCGAGCACTTAAGGCAGGTTTTTCAAGCATACCAAATTGTAACTTCAACTATTCATTGTGGCATAACGAGACGTGACTTGTGTACGATCGGTAAAGAACATCGCATAATGAGAGAAAACATGTCTCTTAACTGGAAGTACTAGGAGGGGTGGATGCGGGGGGAAATCAGCCGTTTTGTGATAGTCATGACGCTTTATACGCACGAGTAACGAACATCATATGAGTACGCGAGGAATTTGTCAGTAGTCAAAAGTCGACATTGTCATGGCGTGGTTGTATCTTTTCTGGACTTTAGTCTTAATCTTAACAGCGTAAATACAATATTTGCAGCATGATCGCGAAGGCGCAAGTTGATTGAGAGAATATTGGGATAGTGCATCGCGAGTTAGCGTTGGACCATGTTACCGTGTACTACTTGACAGCGCATTTATTGCAACCGTTTCGTAAAGACACATTATACGGTCACAATGTTTAGAAAATTAAACACGAAACGTGCCACATATCCAGGAACAATATCATGAAATGCATAACTGCGTGAAATCACATAACAAGAATTGCATTTCCTTTGAGAAATAATGCTCATCAAAACCCGAATCCGTTCAGCGTGAATTGGTATTCTTCGACGAATAAACCTCTGTTGGACAAATATCAAATCTCATCTCCAACACAGCGTCAAATTAGTAGCTGTCTTTGGCAGAATTATCACCGTTACATAACCTTTCACGTAATTCAGTGATGCAAACACACACATTGGCGTAACACTGATGAGGAGAAAGACAAGAGCGATATTTGAAACG